CCCCCGGTTTTCATATTGGGAGTACCAAAAAAAAAAAAAAAAAAAAAAAAATCAATTTAAATCAGAGACTACTGTTCCACGATGGAGGACTGAAGAACACTGTATTTAAATAAGACTACTTAAATCCAAGGGGTCAATTTACCAAGCTGCTGTAATGATTTATTTTGTTTCCATACATTGGCATATTTCCCCCACTCCTCCCTTACACTCTAAGTGAAACAGTAAACATTTCCTGCCAGCACAACTGAAATCTCAGGTCCTTCGTACACTCCAACTATCATTGACATAAAGAAGTCTGGAATTCTCCTTCCAGGAAAGGTAAATTAGCACAGTTCCCCTCTGTTACGTCAGCTATAGACACTAATTTGCATACAACAGGATCAAGCTGAGCATTAGAAAAGGCATTGGCATAAATTAAAAAAATATATATAAACAAACCACAAAAACTTTAAGAAAAGCCAAGAAGGGTGAAATACGCAGCAGAAGTGAATGAATGAGTCACATCAGCTTTCTCCCAATGGGCATAAGGCAAATGACTCAAAACAACTAACATACCAATAGGTCTAATTACCAAACAGCACAACAACCAACAGAACATTCTCAAACGTCTATATTGGCATTAACTCTCTCAGGGCATTGGGTTTCATATTTAAGGGGCTGCCCATCAGGAAATTAGAAAGAGGATTTTTTTTTTTTTTTTTTACCTTTTTACAGACATTTCATTGATGAAGACTTACGTGTGTCTGTTTAAAGGATGGTGCGTTGTCATTTGTGTCTTCAATTCTGATGACAACTGTTCCCGTAGTGCACAAACCAAAAGGCTGACCGGCCATATCTCTCACTTCAACTAACAAAGTGTAAGTGGATACCAGCTGAAAAGAGGAAGGAAAGCATACAGAAGTTTGACATACTCATTTTTTCAATCACGTAGTTACACACGAGAGTAGAACTATGTATTTTATTCCCGTTCCCCAACTCTGCTCCAAACTCAGTGTTCCTCTACAAAATGAGTCTATTAGCTTTGGGGCTTTTTCCCCATAGTTACAAAGGGAAAAACAAGTGAAATATTTCTCAGTGGCTAAGCGGCATGAGTTCAGCATCTGTTAGTAGTGTGTATGCTGTATCCTGTATCAAATAAAGCTTCTCACAATGTCAGCTTTATTTTCCAATACTTGAAGTTTTGGAAGATGCAAATGATGCGCTTTAATCTGGTATCTAGTTCTCCCCTTCGGCGAGGCAGAGTATTCCCTTAGGTTTCTAGCTGGTAAAGTGTTTCAGAGCATGTCTCTTATTTCAGCGAGGATGACCACAAAGGGTGTGGTGCAATCACAGCCTTTGTTTGGGCTATACGTGACAAGGCAATGCCTGCCATTGGAAGGAGTCAGCGCCCTTATCAGTTCCAAGGGGATCACTGATAAACAGTCCAGTTAAATCCCTGACTTGAGTCACAACAGCAGAAGGCTTTCTTTAGTCTTATTAATAGCTGAACAAACCAGGGAAGGGGAACCAAGGAGGAAAAGGGGGACGATGGGGGACAGACACTGGGCACAAAACAAGAGAATCTGTAAATCAAGACAGTAACTCCAGTTCTGAATACCTGGAAGTAGCATTAAGTTTCTCAGGTGGAGGAAAGAAATCTCCTGTTCCACTTCATAAGTTTATCTTTAAAAGACAGAGAGTGGACCCATTTTTCAAGCTTTCCTTCCCTCAGCAGTTACTGTGATTATTTCCTTAGTAGTCACAGTAATGCTCACAGTGACTGCATTTTTCTCTTGCTAAAAAGTTGCTCAGTGTATCTGCAAGCACACAATTTTGCAACATGCTGCTAATGTGGATTTTCAGCTATGAAGTGACAGCAGTATGCCAGAATATGCCTCTTTTTATCCTCAAAAAAGATGTGCCTGTAGCAGTGGCTTTTTCTAAAATGACTGTCTTATGCTAGAAATATTTCAAAATATACATGCCTGTCAGCTTTTCTAGTGTAAACAATCTCTCACGTGACATTTTATCAGAAAAAAAACAACCAACCCAAATCCAAATGAAATAAAATCTAAAACTTCCTGTTTCTTCTTTACTTGAAAGCTAACTGATAAGAATAAATGGTTTGCACTTTAACTTTAGGAAATGTTATATTACTGTTTAGATTTCTGATATTGGGAGTTATTTCTGTTTAATATAGGACGACTAACTGCTTCCAGAAAATCTGGTTCATCTTCCCTGTAAAGAAGAAAGAAGGACCTCAAATGGAGCTTGATTAGCATGAAACAGTGGCTGATGGGATTCATGAACAGAGAAAGAATAAAAATCCACAGGAATTTCAATCCATAGGTTGAACACGAGAGCAGTGGCAGGTCCCCTCCCAAGATTAGCTAGAATAAAGTAGATCTATGCAGAAACTCTTTAACTAATTACAGGTCTCTAGAAAGCTTCGGCAGCTCCTTAGAGAGGGAATCAAAAAAAAAGAAAAAGGATAACAGAAATGGTTTATCTGGTGATTCCTGTAACACCAATTCAGAGTTAAGAAGCTATTTGTGTGCACTAGATGACAGCTAAAGATGCTTCAGGAAAGATCACCTCTCTGTCCAGCTGTGGCAACAATACAGCAATGACACCCGTGTCACCGTGTAAAGAAAATGCTGGGGTTACTGGTGGAGTTTGTGACACAATGCGGTACTTCAACCAAGTATGCAGAGTCTCAGGCTCATCTCTGTCCTCTGCAGTCACTCTTCCAACAACCACACCTGTGAACACAGTACAGAAATTTTTAGTTCCAGAAAAATCTGTAAATAAGAAAAAATTATTTGAACAGGTATTTCTATTTTAGATACATGAAACTAACTCTTTAGCTCTACATGAAAATAATACTAAAAACATCATAAATAGTAGTAAAAATGCAGTAATAGTGTGGAATTGCCTATTTTAATCTTCTGGTTATTTTTTGCTTCTGAGACAAAGTTGTAATTATTGCAGCTGTTAGACAGAATAATCGAAAGAAATACTAAGAGTTCCGATTTCAGTGCTTTTGACAGTGACTTCTAATTGAGCATCTGAAACACAGCTCAAGAGGAGTTGGACAGGGAGGTTTGGTGCTTTCTGACATAGTTCAAATTGTAGTACTGCCCGTTGGGGAGAGCTGCTGGACTTCATCCCTATAGCCTGAGTGGTTTTCAAACTTCACTTGAAACTGGTAACTCACCCAGTAAGGAGCAGAGCAGCTCAGGGAATGAAATACAACTGGTGTTTTGGGGTGAATGGAAAGACACTTTGCTTCCTTTTTTGTGAAGTAAATTAAGATTTTCCCCACTCTATACCCCTAGTCTAAGAGATGAGTGAGGAATGGCAAACCATGGCTTTTGCATTCCTTATTCTCTGCTTTTGCTTTCTCCCTGCTTTTGTCCTCTGTTACAAAGACACATGAAGTCAGTAATGGGCAAGTCCCTGCCTTTTACAGGTATGGGCAGAAGCAAGATTTTCTTCAACCAACCCCCTCGAAAAGTTCATCTGCTTGGACAAACACTGTAAGCTTAATTAAAGGCATTTTACACCATAGAACACCACCAGTTTAGTTGTTTAGGGAATTAATTTGTTAAAAATTGCTGTTCTGTCAATTAAAAAATTTTATGGAAACAGGTGATTTTTGGGTAAAATGAAAATAATAATGTTATGAAGTTCTTATACCACTTTAGGAGCACTGAATTATCTCTGTTTGCAAAAACTCATTTTTTAAGCAATGCTTTTCAATATGATTGAGATAGCATTTTGGAATTTCTAATAATTAAGAAATCTTGAGCTGCTCTTTTCAAATTCAGCCATTGCTGTAAAGAAATACTCTTTAATAAACCCCAGTGAATTGATTAAAAGGCAGAACTAGACCTAGTCATACTGGTACATAAGTGAGTTGAATAGTGGTAACTGTATTCACTGATTTAAAACAATTCTTACCAGGTTTGGAATTTTCAAGGACAGAAAACTCAAAAAGGTCCTGTGTAAAATACGGAGCGTTATCATTATCATCCTCTATCCTGATTGTATGCACAAGTGGTACCTCTGGTGAATAACCATCTGGAGTGGTTGCAAAGCAAATGATCTGTAAGACATAAATTCAGTAATTTGCTTTATGCTTACGCAACATGAAGTATTGTTACACTTTCAGTTCCATGGAGGCATCAATAAAATGACACAGCATGCCAAGCACACCCTTCTCAAGACCAGGCTCTTTAGCCACATGGAAGGGGAAGTGACTGGTACCTTACAACGAAAGAAAACCTTTAAATCTTTCCAATCTTTCCCCTTTCCATTCCTTGCACTACAAATATTTGAATCACTTTCTTCCCTTCCCTCCCAGCCCCCAACACTGTCAAACACTTCTTCCAAACTTCTTGAAAACTTTTTTTTCCAAGTGCCTAAGAGACAATCTCAGCCTTACCAAAAATTTATATAATCTAAATATTGCTATTTTGAAAAAAATCAAGAACAGCAAAGCTATTTTTCTGTTACAATATAATCTAATAAAATGCAGTAATAGGTACTGCAAGTTACCTAACTATTTAGAAGCTGTTTGTTTCTACTAACTGCCTTTTTACACTTCTCAGCCACTAGAGAGAGCAGTGTACCTTATTAACAAAATACCAAAACTGAACAGCTTGAGAAAGAGTCTCAAAAAATCACAGTCGCCTGGAGTTTCTCATCATTTTGTTTCTATGCAGACCTTTTCAACCTTCCCTGAAAGACTTTGGGATAAGTTCAAACTCTTCCCGAAAATGATGCAAATCCAATAGCTCACTACATTTATGTTGTAATTAGAGTCTAAGCAGTGAAAAGTAAAACTACTCTCAAGATCCAGATGATCGACTATTTCTTTATTTGTCACTGGTTTCATCTCTACGACACCAAGGATATTATCCAGAACAGACAGCTGATTCCAGATCTTATGTGCTCCTATTTTCCCCTGTAGCCCAGCTTTCAAATATATGCATGACAGAAAAAAAAAAAAAAGATTTACTTATATTTACATAATTTAGGCCTGTACCTGAAAGCTTGGATATTGTTCACGGTCTACTGCACGAGTAGCAAAGATATTTCCAGTTTCTCTTTCTATGTAAAACAAACCCTTTGGATCTTGATCAATTCCCGGTCCACTTGCAGAATAATAAATGGTGTAGTTCTGAGCTGTGTCTGACTGGACCTATAAAGAACATGTTTTTTAGCCCAAGTAAAAACAGCAGCATCATTCTAATACATTTTAGCCCTTTTCATTATCATATTTAGCACCAACAGGAACGCCTCAGAAAAATACATAACCAATACTTGTTTAACTTCTACTTCTTTAGCAGCTTAAAATTCACAGAATAGGAGAATAGCTTGCCATGTAACTGCTTTCCTTTATATTGTGTGTACATGAGAAAGGATAGTTAACTCAAACTCAGAAATATTTGAGAGACAGAAATATTGAACAATTAAAGAAATTTAGAGTGTGCATACAAAAATTATTTGAAATCTAATCTCTCTAGAATACTGCACATACAAGGCACATTGAAATACAGAGGGCTTATTACTTCTGGTTTAATGCACTCATTGAGAAGGTGGTTTGCAACTAGGGAAGAAAAAGCAAAGCAAGGAAAGAAGGAAGGAAAGAAAGAAGACCTACCTAGAGTACAGTCCAGAGATATGCCAATTCAGATAGCCTCTCTGCATCTCACTACAAGCACCAAGGAGGTAACATTAGCAGTTATCTATTTATAAACACTCTCCTCCCCAAACTTTCCTTACCTACTGAATGCCAGAAGTTATGAAGGTAAGATTAGTAGAAGAATGATTGCTCTGCACAGACTCTGTTATTACACTTGTCTCTACACATCTGCTACCAGCCACTCTGTAATCTAGCGCAGGCCAGATGGATCTACGATAACTTTAGTTCTTGCATTTCTCTTTCACGCCTACTTGTTTTCTTACAGCAACTACTTTTCCTAATAATATAGGCCATACGCAGTCTTCAGTGCTACAGGTCTACACCCCGAACTCCAGAAAGGATATAGACATGCAGGTCAGATTTCCCCCACTTTGTGTCTCCAAAATCTTTTTCTAGGCAATGTTTTAGGGGGATTTGTTTGTTGTTTCTTTTTAATTACACACTTCACTAATTCCCAGGCCAAAGAGATCTCTTCTGATAGCAAGCCTCTCTCCTTCTTACAGCTTTTGCGTGTTTCCAGCACATCCCAACAACTACGATCACAAGTTATGTCAGCTACAAGATCACTAGATATACAGTGAACAGGACAGAACATGACAGAGGAATAACAGCAGGAACGGCATCAGTAGGGAATACAAGAGAGATCACTTTTGTTCTTCTTTTATCATAAAAGTCACATACAAAACTAGCTTGTGTCATAAAATTAGTATTCGTATAAAATATACCTGCTGTATTTGTAGTGGGAAAGGTCCCAGTGAGTTCTCTATCATGACGGATGGAATAGGGCCCCACCTTCTTTTGGTTCTCTTGAGAACTGTATCTCTAGCCTGCCTGGTCTTCTGTGTCTGGGTCAGGAAGATAAAAGACAGGTAAGAATATATCCATATATTCTTAACAGTGCATATTGTCGCTTAACTACTGTCCTGCATTTCCATCTTTTTTCCCTCTGTCCCAGTTTTCCCACTGGCTATTTGTTTTTTCCTGGTCTTAATTTCTGATTATACCTCTGATAGTATTCCAAGAGTTTTTTAATTCGTCAGAATACTTTGCACAAATAAAACTTGCTTTAATTTCTCAAACAGGGCTTTTAAGATTCTCAGTATTCCTGATCAAGCTCCTTGCTAGCATCTCCCATTTCAGAAAGGAAGTCTGCTGACTTAAGCAACAGACAGTAATCAACAACTGCTAAATAAAAATACACTCTGCACCCGAGTGCTTTGCCTGATTATCTGAATTCCAAAATTCAACTACTGTTACCCAGAATGAAGCTGTACTCTGTGAAACAGCATTTCAAGTAAGGTATCTTGAAATTAGAAGCTCACCTTTTTTTCTTCTTCCACCAAGCTAACATGTATTTTCTTTTGTACATGCTCTTGAGTGTCTTTAAGTAATACATTAAAAGTCTTTTTCTCAGCAGACAAAGAAAGGGGAGATGTTGTATACACAGAACCATCCTCTAGAATTTTAAAGTTCCCATCACTGGAACTGATAAAGTCTGCAGACGGAAGGCATTCTTTCAAATCAACTGTAATACAAAAATATTCAGAAAATAACTCAAACAGCAAAACAATAATCTCCATCACAAAACAAATAAACAAAAAAATTTTCCTAAGTAAACATTGTATTTAATGACATGTTGGAGTCTCCAAGAATTTGGTCATTCAGTATTTAAGCGTCACAAATACAGATTCTAGAACCCATTTATGCTCTCAGATTTGACCAAGTGTACACAAATTTCCACTCTTTTGTTCCTAAGTGACACAGATGCTTCACAGATGTCTTTCAACAAGACACTATTACACTGGCAAACTTATTGAATCATCAGAGATGAACTAATACATTTAAATGCAAAAAACATTGTAGACACGCTTATTATTGGATCAGTAGCTATTAGATTTGCCTTGTGCTCCATGTCCCACAAAATCAGTGAAGATGATTAATTGATGCAAATGCCCAATGGAGATAATACATCTTGGAAGTTTTGCCCTCAGGAGGAAAGCACTGACTGGTACTATGTGATTTAATAGTCTTGGGAGGACAAAGGCCCTTAAATTATGAGGCAGACAGATGGGAGAGATAAAGACTAACTCTAGAACAAATGATTGGCAATTTTTTACTATGTACATGATAGAATCCCATGCAGCATATAGGAAGTACTATGTAAGTTCCACATACTTCTCAGGTATTTTTTACTGCATTTGCTATCACTTGTGGCTAAAATAAACTTTAATGCATTTAAATAAACTTGGTTCACTAGTGAGTAATTCAGCACTACAGCTGCAGAAAAGGCAAAATCAGGATAATCATAATGAACTGCAGTAGGACCACAGCACTAAGCAAGAACGATTTGGCACCCTAAAGGCCACAGACCTAAACTCCCAAATAATGATCCTTGCAGAGAACAAGATGTGTCATGTTTTCAATACTCCTTCAATGATATCATAGTTGATGGGACCTTGCACTATGAAAACTGATCGTAAAATTCCCAGAGTAGATTCAGAATTTCATCCCATGTAGATGATATTGTCAATAAACTAAATTTCATTTCTCTTTTAAGAATGCAAGAAGAGATGGAAGTATAATTTTAAATATGATGTGATTTCCTCCTTTTCTTAATTCTTTCTTTTAACTGTCCAATTAAATATTTCCTAGACTTTTCATAGTACTGCAGCAGTGATTCCTCTCCCTTATCAATCTGTGCAATGCCTCACTTAAAGGCGTCCTATACTTCTGCATATTACAGCACTGCATTTCCAAAAATATCAGATGGGAGATTTTCTTTCTGATGGTTACATGAGTCAACATTATGCTCAGTTAGCCATAGCTTTGTGGGATCTTTTTTCTTTACAGCTTCTCGTATACATTGCGTAAGTCAGAAGTGTAAAAAACCTTGCAACAACCAGGAAAATCCTGACTCATTTTATTGTCCAGGTATGGTCCTTGCATCAGTGCAAGACATTGCACTTTCTCAATAAATGTTTGAGTAACGTCATTGAAGCTATAAAAGTTTTGTTATATGTTTCAGAAAAAAAAATAATCAATGTTATGCAAATTCTTTCATAGCACTGTAACAACATGAAGTTTTGTTTTTATATAAATCATGTTTATTTACACAGAGAAATGCCAAAGTCTCTGAGAGCATGCTAAATACTTCAACAGCTGCAGCGACCTTCCATTTTAAAATGTAAGAGTAAGGTCAACGAACTTTCATTTTTAAAGTTAAATTCCCTGAGCACTTGCATAGTGATGAACTACCAATCAATTGGATTTGTTCCTTCTGTAGGAACATGGCTTAGGATGGCAGATTTGGAGCATGCCCCTCTGTTGTCCTGGGGCTCACACAGGGCACCTCTGAACCCTCAAAATCAGTCTGGGGCAGCACAGAACCCTGTAGCAGCTCTTCTGCCACACCTTCAAAAGCTGCCTTTCAAGGACGGGTCTGAAAAAAAAAGGAGGAGGGTGCTTTCTGGTCTCCCATATTCCTCTCCATCACCTGCACATTGCCCTAAATTGAGACCATCCAGACAGACAGGAGCACTCTCCCAAACCAATGTGCAATGCAGGACCCCTCTGCACCCCCTCTCCTTGGGTGCCCTGAACACCCCAGCGCTGCTGAGAAGTCACAGCCACGTTACACAGAACAGCAGCTTCTGGGTGCTTTGCTTGTGTGGGTTTTATCTTCTTTATTTTCTTTTCCATTATCCAAATGACTTACTGACTTCTTCATATGACTCTGTGGGTTATGGGCGCACTCTGAAATATTAAGCCACTTATTTAAATACTAAGCCCCAGACTCCAAATTTTGAAACCATTAAACTCTGACATTCTTGTTTCAAAAGAAACGCTGAAAGCTGACAATAGCTGTTTACGCAAAAGTCAAATGGATGCAGGGAGCCAGCGTTCAAATCCGTAACAAACACAGGGCGTATCCTTCATAAAAAGGCTGATCCAGCTGTTTAACTGGCTGTCCAGTCATCCATTCATTCCATTAAAAAAAAAAAAAAAAGAGTCTCCTCCACTGTTAACAGCATCTCCAGCAAAGGTGCAATGTTGTACTAAGATGGACATCTCGCAGTTTCTCACCTCTGCCAACTAACGTGTCGGCCTCTAGTTCAGAAGGAACATGAAAAATTACTTTCTTGCAAGCTTCACAGCACAAACTCAGTACCTAGAAAACAAATTAAGAAATCAGGAAAAAAAAATAATAATTACATACTATTTTGAATAATAACTACAATTACTGAAGCTGCCTTTGGTTTGTTTGCTTTTTAAGACAAGCCAGTGAAAAGGCACAGAAAGGACTCTTCAACTAAAAAAAACCAAGTACTACGTAGCTTAGCACGCCAAGTTTCAAACTGGCAACAAGATCTGACCACTGCTCCTGTATCTGTCTGTCCATGGCTGGTGGGTTTTTTTTTCTAAAATCACGGCAGCACTGACATCAACAGCAAGAGTTCCCTTTAACTAGATGATTTCACCTACACTCTCGTTTTAGAAGTAGAAAGGCAAAATACAGCTTCCTCCCATAGTATTCTTGGTCAATTTAGCTCCAAGGTCTCTAAGTATTAAGGTTCAACCCATCAAAACTCAGTTGGGTAGAACTGTGGTGATGCTTAACATTAAAGGGGCAAGTGTCTTATTAAACCACATGACAACACTTGCACTTACATATCGCTTCACAACTTCAAAGGGCATTCTCAACAAAACTAATTAAATCTAGCTTTGGCAATTAGATATGACAAATAAAATGTTGTGTATCACAGCAGTCCACTCCCATGTAACCACTTACAAAATGGGGTCCTCCTCAAAATTCAAATGGGTAGTAGATAACCAGACCTTTTTATAAGAAAAATCATACAGAGGTACAAAGATTCTCCTCAACACAGACCAATTTAGTCCTGACCTCAGTGTGTGTGTGTGTGTGTGTATATATATATCTTGCCTAGTTTCTATCCAGATGTTTAAAATTGTAATCCAAAAATCACACAGACAATTAAAGAAATAGAGAAATGTAAATAAACGTATTCACCCTTTTAAGTACATTTACTCTTTCAGGATGAAAGTCTAGCGAAAAGGAAAGTCATCTTTCTTTTGCACATACCTTTAGGATTAAAGGTATAAAGCAGTAAATAGCTAATGGAAATTCCAAAAATGACTTCTGATTCTTATTAAGAAAATATTTAAATAAAAACACTTTTAAATCTCTAAGACATTAGGAACTTGTAGAAAAACTATGATCAGCTAAAAACAATAAAGTTGAAATGTGGAATTCAATCACCGCATGAAGTAATTTAAGTGCTGTGTCTGCATCATAAAACCTCTTCATACTGTTCCTTATATATATACAGACGTAAAAATATTTATATGTATAACAATTTAAACATAGAAACATAGAATCATCCCTATTTATGTATTAGCAGGTACTTTCATTACTTAATAAGAAACTCTCACATGATGCACATTGTATTAATTTTTAAGTTATTAAAATCCCACCATCTTACTACATTGTTCTAAGATATTTTAAGACTCAATGACATCTAACTTTGAAATAGTAATGCCAGGATAGTCTGATGTCAGCCCGAAGAACTACTGAAGAGTAAATACGGCAGTTCTTCACGGATATCAGGAAACACCAGGTAAAAATAAGCTGTGAATGGCTTTACACAAAGGCGACACTTCAGCAGCTTTTTGAGTTTGGGTGTTCGGTTTTTTTCTACTTGACAGGGGAATTCTTTTACTTTTTTTAATTAGATGTATGAGTAAATTCGCTAGGGTTTCTTTGGGTTTTATTATGAATACCCTAGGAAAGGCAGACACGCATAATGTCTGGAATAGCAACACCTCCATTAAAATGCACATATCTAATGAGTATGAAAATAATAAATTCAGCGTTTCAGCACTACCGAGTATTTTTTTCTTTCAGGCTCAAACGATCATCCACCCTCTTTTTGTGAGCAACGATAACAGGGCAAGAAACAAAAAAATAAATCACTTTCACTCGTACACTACAAAAAAAAAAAAAAAAAAAAAAAAAAAAAGAAAGGAGAAGGAGAACTGAACTTTCCTGCTCTCTCTGACAACTGCTTTTCTGTAGCTGATCATTATGTACAAATACACTACATTCATTGAAGGTAAAGGCAACCGCTGAAATTGTTCGATACACAACGAACTCTTCCCGAGGAGTTTAAGCCGCTCCGCACCAAATGCAAAACCCTTCTCATGGAAAAGGGACCACCGTCGGGGGGGACGGGCACAGAGGGGGGAGATTTAAATGAAATGAACTGCGCTTTGATTTTATTTGCTATGAATTACCAGCAGTACCATTAGTGACCGGCCAGACCCTGTGTCCACCACGGAACCTCACGGCACGCTCCAAAAGCCCCCCGACCCCCAGTCCGAAAGTCAACCCCATAACCAAGGGGTTCTCTCCCTTCGCCGACTCCTCGGGTCTCCCCCTCCTCCCCCCC